TGGCTTGTTCTTTTTATGGTCTCCAGAATTTCCTCCTTTCCTGATCTCCTCCCTGTCCGTGCACTCCTCGCTATTATTGATTGGTGCCTCCTCTGTCCATGCATCTGTTTTAGATTTTCTATTGAATCCTCCACTTAGGAGCACAAGTAGGGAAGTGTCCATCTGATTGTGACCCCCGCTCGTGTCCACAAGCACTTTTGTCAAGCAGGAAGTTGACTTCCTCAGAAGACCCTCTCCACGTCCCTTTGTTCTCAACCTGCCCAACTTCCTCCCTTGCCACCTTGCCCCAGCTGTCTAAGCACCCCATCAATGGTAGAGGGAACTTCTGGTCTCAGTTTCTGCAAAGAACAGGCAGTATTTGGGGAAGTAGCTTAAGAAGTATCTACAGCAGCAGGAAGTCTAACCTGCACAGGGCCGCAGCTTCCCAGGGGAGGCCGTGGCAGATCTCAGCCGGATCCCTCTTTGCCTTCTCAAAGCATTGGTTTTTCCTGGGCCCCTGGCAGAGCTCTGTGCCATGGTGGATGGGTGAAGTTTCTGCCCGTTTGGGGGGAAGTGTGGAAAGTCTAGTTGCTTGGGGGTCGTTTTGCAAGCTTTGTGCTGTGGGTCTCAGAGAGAGAGAGGTAAGGGGGCAGAGACAGAGACAAAGAGGACAAGCAATATGACAGATAAGGGACAGGTGTACAGATAGCTGGACGCTTAACAGAGGGTGCACCGGTAAATAGAGAATGTAGCAGCTATGCAAACTATTCAGCCTCGTAGGTTTCAATTTCCGCTTCTGATGAGATGAAGTTTTTCAGGTATGGACTCTAGAGTGGGGGAGTCTGCAGGGCCATGGGGGTCCTGCCTGCCCAGGCACACGGGACATTATTCTTTCCCCAACATGAGGCCAGGAAGTTGGGTTTTTCCTCTTCCTTCAATGGAGTCATTCTCTAGACCACTTTCATGGGCACATTCAGGATTTCAGAGTGTTCGTACAGAAAAGGAACCGACAGAATTTCAGAACCTCAGACAGATACAAATAAAACCGGGCAGCATTTGCGGGGTGTTTTGGTAAAATATTGCTTGCTCAGACCGACAAAAAGTCGCCATTAGGAGCTGGGTAGCTGATGTGTTTTTCCAATTTGGGCAGCAGAATCTTAAATAAAAATGTCAGGTAGCGCCCACCCAGTCCAGACACAGCTTCAGACATTTTTTATGAGAGAAGAAACAGAAATAAAGGGAAATGGTCACCCTGCCGTCCGGAAATGAGAAGGACTCCGTTTTCCCTGTGCTGCTAATTGAGACGTACTGCTGTCTCCCTGGCAGAGCGGCCTGCACCCACAGCTGTGGGCACTGGGGCAGGCTCTTCTACACTGTTTCAGCTTTGTATCACCAGACTTTTGGGTTGTGGACTGTACTGGTTGGTGTGGAAAGTCTCTTTTTGAATATTCTTATTTATTTAGTTATTTTGGCATAACTTGGGGTTGAACCCAGGGCCTTGAGCATGCTGGGTAAGGGCTTTGCCACTGAGCTACATCCACAAGCCTTTATGCATATTCTTCATGGCTTGTATTACTGACCTGGGGCTGACCCTGTGCCAAGACCAGCAAACACAGCTGCCCACACTGGCCATGCGGCTGGCTATGCTGAAAAGTGCGTCCTTCCTCTCTGAATTAGGGCCATGCAGCTGAGCCCAATATCATTTGGGCTGCAGTTTACCTTGTAATAAGGTGTCAATCTGTGTTTAACACTGCAGAGCTGGGTAGCTAGGTAGGTTAATCTTTTCAAAAGTAGTTTTTACTTCTGCCTTTTTGAAATGAGAAAACTGAGTACCAGAGGAGCTAAGAACCCTCCCCAGGGTCACACAGCAGTAGGAAGCAATCTCCAAATCTTCTGTCAGCTGCGTCCCATAACCCCACTTCTGCTGGGAGGGTCTGGGGGCTAGGAGAGGTCAGCCTCTCCAAAGAGGATGGGGACATTGTCTGCAAGGGACACAAGTCCTGCATTTAACTTCTTCCTGGCCAGGTATGTGTGCCAGCCTCTGTTCCAGCGTGGAAGAGCTTAGAGATGCCCCCAGAGTTCCCTGGCACGGGAGCCCACCTCTGTGAGGAATTCTGCCTCTGCACAGGGCTTTACAGTTCCACTGGGCTCCCATGGGCTCCCCGGTGTCACAAGCCCTGGGCCCAGTGGTGGGGGGCCACACCTGTGCCTCCTTGACCTCCAGGCTGGCCATCTGTTCTCGTGCCTGTCCCTTCTCTCCATCCGGGCTTCAGCTTTTCCTGAAGCCCTGCCCCTTTAACCAGCAACGTCTCCAGACTCCTCCCACCAGGACCACCTTGAGGCATCTCCAGGCCTTTAGAGATTTGTGCTGATCTCTGTGCTGAAGGTCTAAAGAGTTGTCCTTTCTCAGCTGCAACACACTGCTGGCCAGGTCCGTGGAAGGAGCTCATGGTCCTTGGATGACCTTGCAGACCTCCCCAAGACAGTGCCAGAGTCCAGAAACAACAACTCCTTAAAGACTGGTGGCTGCTCTATGTTGTCCGGGGTTTCAAACAAGGAGGGATTCATAAATCACTTTTGGCTGAAAGTATTAGTCTAAAATACAATTTGTCATGTTTGTGTTGATGACCCGTCCTTACCGTCTTAATATATATATTCCCTAAATATACATAATTCTGTGTTCTTCATTTGTCATTTGTCAAAAAGTGAGATCATTGCTTTTTTTTCCATTATTATAAAAGGGAGAAGATGAATCAGGCCCTTTAAGAACTTCAGGTTGCAGTAACATTTTAATTCTAAAGGAGATATCCTCCATCTTCCCTTGGGTCAGGGTGAATCTCCCCTTTGCACTCACTAAACAGTGATGCCTGCATTCCTGGGGTTTGGGACTGGACCTTATGAAAAGTGGCCCTTCCCAGGGCTGCAGCTGCTCTCCATAGCCACGGACAGTATTAGCACTAAAGGTTTATTTCCATTAGCCCAAGAGCTGGGGCCACCGCATTTCAGATTCTCGTCTTCCAGTCCGGGGATCATGGGATGACATTCATTAAGCATTTTACAAATATCCACTTGAGCCACAGGAACTCCGCCCCTTCCCGATGTCCTGACCCACAGTCTTCCCTGCAGATTGGGAATGTAGATTGAATACAAGAGGCTGACTGAACCGGTACAGTAGGGAATGATTCCATGCCCTCTGCATGGTTTGGGCTCTCGTGGGTCACACAGGATGACACCCAATGTCCCCCAACGTTGGTGCATTCAAAGCTCTGCTCTCGTGGCATTGGCAGCAGATCTGGGAGAGAAGAAAACAGTGCTTTGATTTAGGTCATAAATCGGTGAGTTTAATGAGGCTGGCAGGCCTGGAGCCAGTGTGATGGGAGGGCTGCAGGCAGCGCCCACTTAGTCTCCAGGAAAACCAAGGAGCCTGCACGTGAGTCTGTGAGGGAAACATCATTCAAGATCTATCTGAAATAAGTGCTGGTTCTCCTGCATCTACCTACCTACCTACCTACCACCGGTCTATCTTCTACATCTGTCATCTGAATCTGTCTACTATCTGTCATACCTATTATCTACGTCTATCTCTCATCTATCTCCCATCTATCATAACTGTTATCTATATCTATCATCTTTCTCTTCTATATTATCCGTATCTATAATAGCATCTATACCTACACATTTTCTAAATCTATCATCTATCCGCCCACCCACCTACCACTGATCCATCCATCTGTGGGGGGTGACAACATAGTAAGCAATAGAGAACAAGCCTCCCTCACCCGGAGTGACCAGTGTCCCCCACCCACGTGGTTAGGGCTGCTGCTGGAGTGTTATTCTGCAAAGTCCCTGAGAGAGAAAATGGCTGGAGCGGGTTAGGGGTGGTGAGGGGCTGGAGCTTCCTGCTCCCTGGCTAGGGCTCTCTCTCCAGCCTCAGAAGGCCCCGTTGATTTTCTGTCCCCGGGCTGGAAGTGCTCCAGGTGCAAGTGCTGGTGGGTAGCAGTGAGGCTCTTGGGCCAGGTCCCAGGGGAGGTGGGTCCTGTCCCTGGATCTGGTTTGAGCTAACTCTGGGGCTTATTTGCTGCTTTACCTGTCAATAGGGGGGTGGATCCCGACTCTGGCTGTACCTGAGGGTCTTTGCAAAAAGCGTGAACGTGTGGCCTCCCCCCAGAGATGCCATGTCATCACTCAATCTTGCTCTCAGGAGACCTTCCCACTGCAGCAGTGCAGGGAGGCAGCCGGGGCCCCAGTGTCTGTGCCTCTGAGGGTTGGCCTCGGCCCTCACTGGACTGGAGGATTTTTAAATCCTTTCCTCTTCTATGGATGGGGGATTTGATTTACTTATTTGGTTTTACAACTTGGCTGGGAATTGTCCAGTGCTCAGAAAGGTGCCCAGCGTGATGGGACAGCTCACCCAAGTTGTCACTTCACTCTGGCTTATGAATCGGTTAAGGCCTTCTGTCTTGGCACACACATTGCCACACCTATGTGGGAGGAGTACAATGCATGGCTTGTGAAACCTCAGTCTAACTGTGAAGGTCAGTGGTGTCCTGAGGGTGGTAAGAACCAGGCTGGGATCACAATCAGCAGACCTCGAGGGCAGCAAAAGTCTACACAGAAACTCAACGTGTTACTTGGTTAACTCAGAGCTCTTGTGAAAATCAGCTAACACTGGCTCAATGCCTGTAGCAGTATTCAAACTATAGCTACATGAGATACCAGGAGAAAGGACCAGCGCAGCTAATGTTTTTAAAATTTATGTAGACTGTCTCCAGTAGGAACCAAAGATCAGGTACAGAAAACACACTCCGCATACAGACGGTGCCCTTGACTTTCGCTGCCCCTCTCGGGGTCGAGTGAGGCAGCTGGAGGGCAGTGGGCTCTGGACTGTGGGCTGCTCCGCTGTGCAGGGCATTTTATTTTGTGAATGGGTCTTATGCAGGAGCAGTGTCCTAGCTCTGAGGGTGTCACTGTTTTCTATTTGCAGCTCCGATTACCTCATGTTTGTGTTTTTCTTGCTATAGATGGGCAGAAGAAAGTTCAAGAAGAGTTTGACATCGACATGGATGCACCAGAGACAGAACGTGCAGCGGTAGCCATTCAGTCTCAGTTCAGAAAATTCCAGAAGAAGAAGGCTGGATCTCAGTCCTAGTGGGGGACCCCCCTTCCTAATCTGCTTGAAGACCCTGAATTCAACCATCATCTGTCAAGAAACTAAGAGAACCACACCCTAGACAGAAGTCATCCACATGAGATACACACACGCACCGCAAACCTAAATGCATGTACAGAAACCCGTAATATTTATACCCTTGTAGACAGGCGGAGGCAAGGAAAATTTGAGTAGCTTAATCTCTATGTTTATCTCCATTCTCATTTCTCCTGCAACTATTTTCCTTGACGTTGTAATAAAATGAAGTTCAGATGAGTGATTCAAATGCCTGTTTTCATCTCTCTTAATTATATTTTTCTGGCACTGGGGATGGAACCCATGGCCTTGCACACACTCGGCACGTGCTTTATCACTGAGCTCCACGCCAGCCTCTCCCTTGGTATCAACCTAGGAAGTCACTCGGGTTACAGCTTGCTGCAAGCCACATGTCCATTTTCTCCCTGTCTCGTTAGAGATGGACGCGGTGGCTTCTGTTAGGCGTGTTTGTGCCGAGAGTAAGAGATCCTTTCTCGGCCACGTCTGTCTCACTTGGAGACCGGCAATGGTGATAGATTTTTTTCTTATGATGGGAACACGGTCCTGTATCCTGGGGTGCCAAAGCCTCAGAAGTTTCATTGGAGAATTATGAATCATGGAGAAACAGCTTCCTGCGAGAGTGGGGTACAGGGGCCATAGAAATGAGCCACACTGAGATGTGATCTCTGGAGCTACCTATTGAAGTAGCCAGGGCCAAAGGAATCTTGTTGAGATAATTCATATTCGTCCCTCCATACTCTGCCCAGCCCCTACTGTTCTCCCACTCCTGGGGAGCGGGGTCGGTCCTTGCTGGGTGGGCTCTGCTCTGACTCCAGCATGGGTCTTCTAGCCTCAGACCCTCCTGGAGGCTGATCGGGGACCCTCTGTGGGAGCAGTTCTGCCCCAGTCTAGCTGACGGTCTGAGCGCTGTCAGCCCGTGGGGACAGAAGGGTGAGGATAGGGGAGGGACCATGGACTTCGCAGGGACTCCTCAATGGTTGTGAGGGCTTCTCCCATCCCGACCACAGGAAAGAGCTTTAGCTGATTTTCTTTTGAGCCACAGGGATGGACTGAATTTTTTACTTCCGGGGGCGGGGTGCCTGGCGGTCTGAAACTCCAGCTAATAGGGAGGGGGAGGTTCCAGATGTGTCCCCTCAGCAAGGGCAATTGGTACATTGTGTCTGCGGCCTCGAAGAGCCACAGGAATAGGTGGCTTGTGGCTGCGGGCCCTGGAGGACCTGTGGCTCCCCAGGGCTGAAGTGTTCCTCCCCAGGGGGGGAAGGCGCTCCCTGGGCTGGCACAAGGGACTTGCAACTTCACTAATTCAGTTTTGTTTCGCTCCAGTTGATGGAATTCCTACTGCATATGCGACCTTGGTGCTGTGGCCACAAAGCAGGACAGTCCTTGGCCAGGGGGAGACTCGGTACAGATGAAGGGAAGGCAAGAATGGGTGGTGACAGAGCAGCTTGGACAACTACTCAGGTCTCCCATCAAGGCAGCCACCCCGCAGTGACTCGGGGACAGCGGGAGTTTCTGGGTCCCTAAGACCTGGTGGCTGGTGTAGGAGTGCCTCAGCGGGGACCTGGGGGAGGAGACACTCGGCTTTGCAGCCACAAGGCTGGATTTATGAGCCCACCCCAGCCTGGGGGTGTGGCTCTGCTACCTGAATTTGGCGAGGTCAGGAGGCAAGACCCCCAGCCCTGAGACTTGGAAATGATCCATCTTTGACTTACGGGTGGCCATGTGACCCCAGAGAACGAACTTACCTCAACAAGCCAGTTTCCTTAAGAGCCAAGTGGTGACTTGGTCAGCAACTTGGCTAGGACATGTTAGGAGTTTAAATGAAGCAGGTGAATACCCGAGAGCTTGGCTCACAGTCGAGGCTAACGTGGGGCCTCATTGCTGGTGAGCCACCCTAGCAGTTGGTCACGGCCTCCTTGGCCAAGGCCCTGCCTCCCAACATAACCCACACCGTGGGACCCCACTTCCCTTGCCAACAGCAGCCAGACCAGGTGCGGCCACCTGACCCACGAGGGTTCAGCGGCTCAGGCCCTTGCTCCTTGAGTCTGAGCTAATAGCAGGTGAGCCACCAGTCATGTGGGGGAAATGGTAGGTGGTGGGCAGAGTAAAACTGCAAAAATGGTTTATAAATTATTAATTCTACTGTCTATTTACTCTTACTGTTACTACTACTGCTACTTCTACAAGCTGCTGAAAAAAGGCCACTTGAAGGGAGTGTGGGAGGATGTAGGAGAGGATTCAGATATGTGGGAGAGGTAGGCTACGCGGAGTCGGTCCTTTGCAATGAACAGGAGCCCCCCCCCCCCCCACACACACTAGCTAAAAAGAATTGTTCAGGTCTTACAGACATCTACGAACAGAACATCTAAGATGTACAATAAGAAACCAGGATGTCCCGGGCAGGCAGAATTACATTAGCTTTATAAATAAACACACGGGGGAAGAATTGACATCTTCATGTTATTATCTTTATAGCATTTTACGACCTTCAGAAAAATTTCATAGTCTTCTTCACATAGGCCTTGAACATTTCTTCTTGTTCTATTTCTAGATATTTCATATTTTTGTTGTCCTTGTAAACAGAACCTTTACCCAAAATATTCTCTAGTTAGTTTTGCTGTCATCTGTGAGAAACTCTCTTATTGAACTCCATAATATATAACCATTCACAAATAGCAGTCACTCTGTCTTTTCTCTTATACTGGTTTTAATGCCTCTTTTTTCTTGTCTTGTCTTGTTATATTCCACTCTTGTATCTTGGGGGAGCCTTGGACATCGTTGCTGTCTTGATAGTAACAGTGACAAGCCATCTCCTGATGGTCATTTGTCTGGGTCGTTGTTTTCGGCCGATTGACTCTAACTTCATCTGGTCTCATTCGTCCAGTCATGTAGGCCTCTTGCTTTTCTTTGGAATGCACACAGTCGGTTTGCCCTGAAGGTTGACCTAGACAAAGGAGCGGGATGGCAACGGAAGTCTGGGGGGTGAGGAGGTCAGAGTGAGAGCTCGCAGGCCTCCTTTTAAGGACAGGATTCCCAGGCATGCTGTGTTTAGGAGATTTCACTGAACTCCAAGCAAATCATGCATCATCGGGAGGTGGCCCCTGGACCACTCTGTAGTGTTCAGTGTCCTAGTCACCTTGTTCTGGGTGGCTTAACCTATAGACATTTCTTCTCACACCTTTGGAGGCTGGAAGTCCAAGGTCAAGGTGCCGTCCTCCAGGAGAATATGATAGAGGTGGGCGGGGGGGAAGGAGGTAGGTTGGGAAAGATGGAAGAAGAGAGATAGAAAGAAGAGCATTCTTCATTCTAGCAACTTTTCCTCTTCTTCTTTTTAGATGTAGATGGACACAATACCTTTATTTTATCTATTATTTATTTATTTTTGTGTGGTGCTGAGGACTGAACCCAGTGCCTCACATGCAAGGCAAGCGCTCCACCGCTGAGCCACAACCCAGCCCTCTTTTCCTCTTATTAAAAGGGCATCATCCCATCATGGAGGTCTCACCCTCATGATGCTGTCTAAGCCTGGTCACCTGCCAAAGGTCCCATCTCCTAATTCTGTCATGTTGGGGGTTAGCTCACCCTTGGACTTCATTTTCTGAAATCTGGTCAGACTGAATGATACTTGAACTTTATCTACTCTCCAGCGGCTTCACCACAGGACCTGGTTTTAGGTTCACGGCTGGCTGCTGTCCTTTCTCCATGTTCCTTATGGCCATGACCATGGGCTCCTTTCAGTCCTGCACTGGCCCTGTGGAGGGCCAGCTATTGGTTTGTAGCTCACAGGTGCTTAACTGAATCAGAACTGTGGGTGAGCCTGGGGAGGCAGAGCCCTGCTGTGCTTTGTGGGACCTCCCTGGGGCTCAGGGTCTGCAGAGCTTGGCCATAAGGGGCTTGGGCTGTTGGAAAGGTCTCTGTGCTGCTGAAGGGCGGGCGCTCTCAGGCTCTAGGGATGAAACGCCGGAGGATTGCTAGGAGTGGAAACCACGAGCCTTTCCTCTGCCCTATGACACTGATTTGGATATGAATACTTTTGCCACCCCGTAAAGCCACCACCCTCGTCATTTCCGGTGACTGTACTCCAGGGCCTCTCTAGACTGAGGGTTTAAAGAGTGGCCATCTTGAAATCCACAACTGCTCACTCAGGATGGAGGGGCACTTCTCAGCTGGGGACCGCTCAGACACTTCCTCCAGCCTTTCCTACTGTCCTGCCACTACAAGGTCATTTCCTAGGCTGCCTGTGCACGGACCCTGCCGAGCTCGAGTTAGATGAAGCCTTGTTCAAAGCAGGGCTGTACCTTTGGCTTAGATGCCTGTATGGAACAGTGCCTGACGCCTGTGAAATCCCACATCACTCACCAGTCAGGGAGGGCCCAGAGGGAGCTGGTGTCAGGCTCTCTAATGACTGAGGCCCCAGAGGCCTAGAGAGAGCTACTAGTGGGGTCCGAGCTACCCCACTCTGCAACTGGATAATTCCGGCAGCCATTCCCCCGATTTCACCACACAGTGTCCACCTCCTCTCCTGGGGCAGCCAGTCATATGATAAAAATGGGAATCAGATGTTCTCATCCTTGCCATGATTTCCTGTCCCCGAACGTAAACTCCTTCACTGAAGGAGCAGGTCCTTCATGTGGCCCTCGAGAACCCACACCGGGCCACCGCTCACTTTCTGGAGATTTCTGTCCTTCTTCCCCCTCCCTCACTGAGACGTCAGAGTCTGGTTCTGCAGCGCTCTGCCTGCGTCTTTGCATCTTTTAGGACTGTTCTGAGCCACTGTGCCCTTCCTGGGGAGGCTGCGGTAGAGGTGGCTGCTGTAAAGCAGGAGTCCCCTGCCCCAGGTCCCTGCCTGCAAAGAAACGCTGGCTGCTGTCGCCCTGGGTCCTCTGCACCCTCCGCTGGAAGGTGCTGTCAGAGGTCCATCGTGGGCCACACGCACGGTGACCTACGTCCCTTCCACTGGTCGAGGGAACGGCCTCAGCTATTTGCAGGGGAAGTTGGGAAACGTGATCTACCCGCCTGCCCTGGGTGTGGAGGAAACAGTTTTGGGGGAACACCCTGCGGTTTTTCACAGCCCCAGCTCCTCTCACCTGCCCCCTCCCCTCTGTCCTGCTCCCTCCCACACCTGTACCCCCACCCCACCTCATGTCACCAACACACACAAGGCCCCATCTTGACGGCACTTATCAGAGCTTTCAGTTCACATGCATCAGTGCGGTTATCTGATGAATT